GTTTATATTTTACAGATATATTGTTTAGAAGATTTGAGTGAAAGATGCGTTTTCATTTGCAGCGGTCATCTTACAGTTATAGAAATCATTGGCGGTTTATTAGAGGAAAATTGGCAATCAGACCATTTAAAAAACGTGTACTGTTTATATTTTTCAGATATATCATCTAGAAGATTTGAGTGAAAACCTAATTGTGTAGTGTTTACGTATGTTACTACAATAAGTATTTCAAGAAACAAAACCTAAAAGTTATAAATTCCCCTTGTTTTAGAGTGTAGCGTAGCATTGTGTCACTGTCTTGACATTGATTCTACTTTTCCTTTCATAATGAATCAAACCCCAGATACAAAAAGGGCCGTTAGCGACAAACGCCAACCAGATTCGTCACCACTATTGAGAATAAGAGTCTCTATAATGGCTCAATCAAATCGATGACCCCATCCGTTTCATAAATCAACTAATAGATGTCACGTAAAGCGCAAGAATTGTGCCAACAAACAAAAAACAAAAATCAATCGCCCACAGAGTTAATCTTGGGTAACTTTCTTTACGATAGGTTCATCGTCTTTTGTAATTGAATCTAGTGTTAATGTCAATCTTACATGCGGAACTGATATTAATCTTGATCAGTGCTTCTCCCTTCCACTTTTTATATGTTTTTTTTTGATACGCAATAAAATGGTTTATGTATATGTCTATCACCAAGTTATCGGCGAGAAAAGAGGTCGAAATTTTCACTTTCTGGTTAAGAATTGCAGAAAAAGAAAAAAGAAAAAATGTTTAAGGACTAAGGTTATGAAGTTTCATCCGATTTTATTAAAAAAAATACAAGAAACCTTGCCACCATTATCTGTAGAAATAAAATAGCCGATAGTAGAATGTTCTGGTGCTGATTGACGATTAAAACGTTTCAATAAAATATGGAAGGATTTCGTAAACCTACTTTCAGTAAGGTTAGGTATACCAATTTCTTGCTTTTTTTATCAGTTTTTAATGGTTTGTACCATGCACCAAAGCGTTAGTATCCTGGTGCGCATTTTTTGATAGCCAATACAACAAAAGTTAAAGGTCGAATGATTGAACGTGAACAGGCTTCTAAACATCTATCGAAGTCGCGCAAACGCGTACGGCAATTGGTGTTTTTCATTTGCAGCGGCCATCACATTGTTTTACAAATCATTGGCGGTTTGTCGGACGAAAATTTGCAATCACACCACTTTTGTAGAGAATTTATATTCTTTCAAAAACATGTATTGTTTATATTTCTTAGATTTGAGTGAAAGATGCGTTTGGATTAAAAAAACACAAATTCGCGATGATAGACCACTTAATATTAAAATTAAGGGCTGAAACTTGGATGTGGACTTTTTTTGTCATCCTAAATAATAGGAGGGATGTTTCCAAAGTTCTGGGAATTTAACTATANATTTGTGAAAATTTTTCGGGCCCAGCAAAAATATCTGAATTCTACATACTTCTCGAGAAAGAAATCCAATTGTTAAACACAATTGACAAACAGAGGCAAAAGATGAAAGAAGATTATGAAATGAAAAAAGAAGAGGAATTTTTCCTAACAATAGGGACACCTTTGGAATGGAATAGCAACTACAGGAATCTCTATGTGCAAATGGATACCTTAGAAACCCAGAAAGCTCGTCAGTACCATGATCTGTTCCGAACACTTCGTGACCATGATTTGTGCAAGGAACGTCGCCTGAACGCCTTATTCAACGTCAAAAAGCAACTACAAGACCAGGATCATAACTGCCAACTGTCAAACGAAATAGTTGAACTGATAGATCGATGTTGCGTATTGATTTCTCGAGGATTTGAATATAAACAACTGGAAATGCTCCAAAAAAGAATTGAACATCTCCTCATGAAACACTTAAACCAACGTGAATGCAACGAGGGTATAACAAACCGCTTGGTGAGAGTTAAAGAAAAGGTGATGCACCAGGATTTATTCCTCTGTCAGAGATGCCAGAAACTGAAAAGCCACAACGAATTCCCGATCGATTCCCGTACCAAACTCCTCCGTATCTGCAACTCGTGCATATGGATTGACAAGGTGCAACAACCGCCAATCAACATGGCCCCATACGCCTACATCCTGAAGTGCATCAGAAGAGAAGAAAGAAGAAAAGGAGCTCAATCATCTGTGGCTTTCGTCTTAGGCAACGAAGACATCCAGTACATCGTGGATCACATATGGCACGGACACTCAGCGCTCAGTGAATGTGACGATATCCATGCCCTTCGGCTGGCACGTTGGGAGAAAGACAAGGAATGGTCGCCTTGGAATTGTGTCTTATTGACAACCGAAGAAATTAGGAATCACAATCAACTGGAAAAATTCGAGGGTGCATACGAATACGAGTTTATTGAAAAGGTTCAGCATAAGCATTTGGACGGCAAGGTGTATTTCAAGAAAGCATACAAATACGGAAATACTGTTAAGTATGGGGTTGATTGGAGCAAGATTGAGGGGCACATTGATTTCGTTGCTGTTAACAGTAAAGTGAGGATACCTCCCACATGTCATTAAATTTAATGCCATGTGATTAAATTGTATGCAAATCAGTCCAGAAACCGAAATGTAGTAATGATTTCAAACATTAAAATCAATTTCACCAATAAAGTTGTATTTGTTCTTGTTAATCTCAGTTATTTGGGAGTTTGTGTTTTTTTTATATAGAAACAGAATATTTTAGGTATAGATTGGCTGTATTGAAGAGATAGTCAGAGACATATTAGAAGTAGAAATAGGAGTTAAGAGGAGTAGAGGTAGATATAGACTAGATTACTGTTTACAGATAGTAAAGGATGTGGGATGTTGTAGTATGCGTTGATCAATTTCTGATCGGGTGACCAGATCAAGGAATGGAGTACTGTACTCTGATCAGAAACTGATCAGATGCCCGTATTACGGAAAATCTAATCCGCATCTGATCATAATCCGGGTTCTCTGAACTAATTTCCAGTCGGGTACAAAAGGGTGCAATATAATGTTTAGCCAAATATGTTTTTAAATTAAATATAGTAGTGATAAGAAATTGGTCAGGTGACTGGATTAAGTGATAGGATACTCTACTGTCAATCTCCGATTAAAAGATAGAGTACTGTGCGCTGATCAGTTTCTGATCGGATGACCAAATCTGATTAGCCAAATATGTTTTTAAATTAAATATAGTGGCGTTGTCCGCCACATCCCATTAAAAAAAAACAGTCGTTTTTCTTTTCGGCCCATTCCACGGTATATATATAGAGAATGCAACTTAACAAAATCAACGCGTTGAATAGATAAGATATTAAACGTCTCGGGAATTCAATTTCGTCCATTGTCGAAGCGTCACTTCGAACCTTATAAATTATGGAGTTATTTGCCTGCCGATGTGCGTTGCCGCTGCCTTTCATTGAACGATCTGCCTCGAAAGCCTTCAGTAGACAGTAATTGAATCCCATTGTTACATTAATTGATGTGTCAGTACACGTACGGTAAGTAGAAGTAGTGGCAGTGTAATTCGATGATATGCAAGTTATAGTACATTTGAACGTTAAATGAGTTGTCCACATAAACACATATAAGTAATGCACAACAAAGAATTGATACTTTTCATGTCCTTAAGTTTAACTAGTTTACGTATCATAAGATTTATTGATATATAACGTGTTTTGATGAAAGAGTCGTTATCAAAAATCTGTATCATAATAATTTAATCGTTCAAACGCGTCAGAATTACTAATAAATCTTTTTGTGAAATCGAAGTGAAGATTTTCTTTCTATATTAATTTATATGTTAACGATCTGGAAATGCCGCCTTAGCAGTAGAATTTGTGAAATTTCAAATTTGTTCCTTTGGCATTTTTCTACCCACCTGAAGTTATGTATGTAGGGAACAGGGTGTTTATTAGTAACAAAAATTATACTAAATGCTCCGGGAATTAGACATAAGAAATACTTGAATTNTTTTTTGATACGCAATAAAATGGTTTATTTATATGTCCATCACCAAGTTATCGGCGAGAAAAGAAGTCGAAATTTTCACTTTCTGGTTAAGAATTGCAGAAAAAGAAAAAAGAAAAAATGTTTAAGGACTAAGGTTATGAAGTTTCATCCGATTTTATTAAAAAAAATACAAGAAACCTTGCCACCATTATCTGTAGAAATAAAATAGCCGATAGTAGAATGTTCTGGTGCCAACTGATGATTAAAACGTTTCGATAAAATATGAAAGGATTTCTTAAACCTACTTTCGATATCCAGGATGTATCGTTTAATCAGAATCTTTAGATAAAAGTCAGCAATTTTGGTGTACCTATTTTAGTTGCATATAAACAGTTTGAAAAAAGTGGGTGGGTCTAAATATTTCTATCTTGGTGTATTGTTGGTTGCATATACATATATTCTTTTTACATTTCATTCGGGTATGTTGCACATTATGAAATTGTGGGTGAAATAAAATGTATGTGTTATGCAACACCGACAACGGTAGCACCCATTGGCGTTACATGGGCAATGACCTCAAGCAGCGCAAATGCGGAAGGCGGCAAAAACATTTTCTTCATTACTACATAGACAGCGTCACCTTACAGTACGGTTAGGTATACCAATTTCTTGATTTTTTTTTATCAGTTTTTAATGGTTTGTACCATGCACCAAAGCGTTAATATCCTGGTGCGCAAAAATACTAAGGTTTATGTGTTGATAAAGATCTGTCTTGTATTTAAAAGTAAAAAAGAGGCATTTTTTGGTAGCCAATACAACAAAAGCTGAAATTCGAATGGTTGAACTTACGAACGAAGGCCTTAATAATGCTTCAAACCCCCAGTATAGCATAAAAATGTACACGTAGAATACCGAAGATTATAAAAGCTGAAATGGTAACAATCTTAGGAAAATTTACCAAAAAGCAGAAACAAAAGTCGTCTGTTCAATTTAAGCTAATAATAATCAACGTCATTTATTTCCTCAAACGCTATATTAAAATTATAAGTTCTTGTGGATACTTTTTCATTGGGACCAATTTAAATAAAAGACCTTAATTGCGAAAATAGGAAGGGCAGCAAAATTAGATTTCGTCGCAGGTAGCATAAATTCACCTTCCAAGTTTGGATAATCAGCAGTGTGTTTTCGCCGATTAAATAAATATTTGATCAACAAATAGAGTACTGTGCGCTGATCAATTTCTGATCGGATGACCAGATCAAGGAATGGAGTACTGTACTCTGATCAGAAACTGATTAGATGGGTGGATCAACGGATAGAGTACTGTACTCGGATCAGAAACTGATCAGATGCCCGTATTACGGAAAATCTAATCCGCATCTGATCATAATCCGGGTTCTCTGAACTAATTTCCAGTCGGGTACAAAAGGGTGCAATATAATATTTAGCCAAATATGTTTTTAAATTAAATATAGTAGTGATAAGAAATTGGTCAGATGACTTTGA